GAGGCCTTCCTTGACTGTCTGAAATAGACTACCATCTATTCAAATCTTTCTCTGTCTCATAACTTGTTTTATTATCATCATAGCACTCACTGCAGTTTGAAATTCTCTTATTTGACTCACTTTATTGTCTGTCTCCCTCTCTGGAATGTGAATCACAGGAGGGCAGGGACCTTGTCTGAATCCCCAGTGCCTAGAACAGTACCTTGTATATAGTAGGTGCTCAATAAATATATGAATGAAATTGTATTTGTTTTGATTATTGACTGATCCCCATGAAGAATATTAGCACCATGAAGGCCAGGACCTTATCTGGGTTACTGCTACATCCTCACACCTAGTGCCTCTGGGTTACTGCTACATCCTCACTGTAGTGCCTAGTGCATAGTAGATGCTCAACAAAGAATTGTTGGGTGAGTGAATTAATGTTCCACATACACCTTAACTCAACATACTCCACACTGAACTTAGTCTCTTTTTCCCCACGAAAAATGCTTTTTCTTCTGTGTACCCTGGCTCAGTCAATGGCACCATCATCCAGAAATGACACCCAACCTAGAAATGAACTCACATTCCTTTCACTCATTCACCCACTATTTTCAATTAGTCTCCTAGCCCAACCTAGTCAACCTCCAAAATATCCCACTTATCTGATCATTTTTTACCCCTGCTGCAACTATTCTGATTCAGGCCTCAGCTTTTTTTCATGACTACTGCAACTGCCTCCTCCTCTCTGCCTCTCCCCTTTTTCTCTCATTTATTATGGAATGCTTCATAAATTTGCATGTCAAACTTGTACAGGGGCCATGCTAATCTTCTGTCTTTTCAATGTTAATATATGTGCTGCTGAAGTGAACACCCTCCTGACTTCTTGTTTAGCTAAGAAAGCTTAAGCTGCAGGGTTTGTCACTTGCCATATGGTCACATGGTCGTATGTTTTATAAAGTTTGCAAAATATATTTGAACCACAATTGGTTAAAATTACTGTCCCTTCCCACTGAGAGTTTTCCTGGTCACATTTTCCTTGTATTAGGTGGTGCTGGAGCTGCCTCAGACATTTTTGAGATCCATCTAAGTGGAAGTTGATTTGCGGGATACATTTAGTTTGGGTTTAGTGGGGACATTTATATGTTTTTACCGCTTCTATTTATAGTTATTACCCAGGTGTAGGAATGACTTCTAGAAATACTCTGTCTACCTTTGAACATAATTTTGTATTCACAAGTCTATATTCTTTTCTTAATGAAATCCTACCTCACAAACTGTACAAGTTTCAGGTCCCACTAAACCTGGATTGTCCCCTGGCTAAGCCAGAAATGTGACTCTGCTGCTTTTGCTCAAAAACCTACAATGGTTTCTTATTGCTTACAGGATAAAATCTAATATTCAACTTCTTTTTGTAAATGTTTTCCCATGTTCATCCATGCATCTGTACATGATAATCCTTTATGTAAGGTCGGATCTTAACAAATAGCACTGCAAAACAGAGGAAAGCTTCAAGTGAGCTTTATTAGGGAGCGCTCCCGGGCGAGGTTCACTGGTCCGAGAGAAAGGGGCCAGAGAAGTCGCACCCGGGGGAGGGGTGGGCAAGATTTTACAGGGGAAGAAGGGAAAGGGGTGTGATGAATCTGGGAGGGCGCAGGGTATTCCTTATTTGGTGGTCTCTTCGGGTATCGTGGCAATATCTGGTGCCGGTTGCATCAGTCTTGGGACCGTTAGTGCCGCCCCTCGAAAGGCGGGAAAACTGGGCCGGGTGGAAAGTCCCCAGGTCAGTTCCTGGAACTGGGTGGTCCGGAAAGTCTCCAGGTCAGTTTCTGGAGCTGGGTGGTCCGGAGAGTTACCGTCTGATGCAACCTGTGAATCTGATTGTCTGATGCAACCTGTGAATCTGATTGCGTTCCCCTGCCTCCGGCCAGTTGGCCTTACACTTTATATACAATGTTCTTGTTAATTTAGTGAACTTTTATATACCCTCCAAGTCTCTCTGAAATCTTCCTTGACAGCAGCAAGCAGCTTCTGAGGCACTTTCTTAGCCTCATTCTGCACTTTGCAAGAGGTATCTGTGTGCTTACTAGATGCTGTATTCCAACTGTTTACCTGCAAGTTTGTCTCCTGCACTGGCTGGCAATCTCCCACCGCAGAGTTCCTCTTTCTCATCATTGTATCCCCAGGGCCTAACCCACCATCACTTAGGAAACTGGTGTGCACACACACATTTCCTTTTCTAAAGCAGTTGGACCCTAAGAAAATGAAATAGTAAGAGTATTCCTAGAGAATATTCTAGAATGTCTGAGAAAACCAGCGCCACCTTGAAGCATGTGTGTGGAGTTCCACTCATTCAACCTCATCTCCCACCCCACCCTCAGGCTGTAGTCAGAAAATCGTGGGACAGGTGCATGAAAATCCTTGAACTGTATTCGAACTGAACTAAACTGAAGTGGGGGGGGGTCAAAGAAGAGAGATTTCAGAGGGAGCTGGGGACAGAAGATTTACGGAGGAATTACGATCGAGGGACCCAGGGAAGGACGCGGGGGGGGGGCGGATAGTAGAGGGTGCAAGGTTCAACAACTTTCCGGCTCTAAAACTTAAGCCACTTGGCTTCCCTAAGCGCGTGTCCTCACGCTGGGATAATAACAGAGCTTCCCTTGCAGGGTGAAAAGTAAACGACCCGGAGACCGTGTGAAAGAGGCCGGCCAGCTGAAGGTGCTCAATGAACGGGAACCTGTGAGTACTCGCCCTGCCTCCAACCGGGCCAAAGGCCCGCCCCCCGCCGCCACCTATTAAGTTTGCGGAGCACAGTCACAGAGTTCACCTCCTCTCGTAAGAGGAAAAAGCTGGCAGGGAGGAGGGGAGTGTGTGTGTGTGTGTGTGTGTAGGGTGTGTGTATGAGGGGAGGGAGTGTGTGTGTGAGGGGAGGGTGTGTATGTATGGGGAGAGGGTGTGTGTGTATGAGGGGAGGGAGTGTGTGTGTGTGTGTAGGGTGTGTGAGGGGAGGGTGTGTGTGTCTGGGGAGGAGGGGAGAGAATGAGTTACAGTGTGTCAGTGATGTTGGTAGGGGGCGGGTGCTTAACTCCGTGCTCGCCCGGAGTAGGGGGAAGGCGAAGGCGGGGAAGGCTCTGGCCCCACTCAAAATGGAGCCAAGCGCCTGCCTCGCCTAAGATGGCGGCCTCCCCGCCTTTCGGTTCCGGGTTCTCAGCGTCGATTGGGTACCTGGGGAGTCGAGCGGGTCCAAAGGTGGCCAAGCCCCGCCCCCTTTCTCAAGGTGACGCTCCGCCCCCGATGGCGTCACGCGGGAGCCGGGGCCCGCCCTTCCCCGCCTGTGCCACGGTTACCTCGCGTGTCCGGCCTTCATAAGATGGCGGTCGGGTCGCCTACCCGCGGCGGCACTGCCACTCTCAATATGGTAGCTGTTTACCCCGTATTTCTCCTCCCCTCTCCGCCTCAACTTCCTCGTTGTTTTGAATAAACTTTATTGACTACTCTGAATTGCCTATCACCGCCACCGGGCTTCTCCCGGAGATTTTTCGGGCTGTTTTTCTCCGACCGGGCCGCCGGTTCATTTCCTTCCTCGCTGGTTTGCTCGCAGCGATCTCCTGCCGGCCCAGCGACGCCGCCGCTTGCCTGTTTGTCAGGCGGCCGCCGGACTAGGCCCGAGCCGCGGGCTCCAATAGGCCCTAACAGCCGGGCCCGGGTCAGAGCTGTGGAGAAAACTGCCCTGAAGCAACCGCCGGGCGGCCAGGGCCGCGCGACCAGGGCCGCGCGACCAGGGCCGCGCGACCCAGCGGGTGGCTCGAGTGTAAGGCGAGAAAGGTTCGCTGCGTTGCCGTGACGATCCCAGAATTCGGTGCGCGTCGCCTGTGGGGCCGGAACTGCTGGCCGAACCTTCGCTGAGTGAGGCGCTGAGCAGCTCCGGAGCGAGCCCGGCCGCCGGCGCTTCGGTGGAACTGAGCTCCGCGGGCGTGAGGAATCCCTGCGGCTTTGCGGATGAGGAGGTCCCTGTAGGGTTCCGGACCGAATACGTTCTTGTCAGGTTTGGGGCGTGAGGAGGTTCCTGTCAGTTTGGGAGGCGTGAAGAGATTCTCGTAAGTTTCGGGGGCTGCAAGGAGATTCCTGTCACTCTTGGGATCTGTGACGAGATCCCTGTCAATTTTGGGGGACAGGGGAGTCTTGGTCAGTTTGAGGGGCTTGTGAGGAGATACCTTCCAGTTTAAGAGCTGTGGGAGGAAAATCCTGGCTTGGTTGCAGGAGTGTGAGGAAATTCTAGTCAGTTTTAGGGATTTTGAAGCGATCCTTTCGAGTTTTGGGGGTGCAATAAGAACCCTGTCGTCTTTGAAGTAGAGGGTGAGCTGATCAGTTTTGAGGTTGAGATTTTTTCAGTTGTTGGGGTGATTAGACTCCCGATTGGTCGGGGATGGAATGATTTTGAGAGTGAAGGAGCAGATCATTTAAACTCTCACAACAGAACCCCAGAACTGTGATTTGAGTTGGGCGCCTAGTCTTGTCTGCCTTGTTGCTGAAGACATCGAGGTAATTGTCGAGTAATCTGAGGACTTCCAAGGATCCCTCATCTCTCTCTAGTTGCGTCTATTTTGGGGGTGAGAGAAGTGACTTTTTCTGAGGTACCCCCAGCCTCATCCTCTAGGCTATGCTTTGTGTCATAATAAATATTGAGAGCCCTGGGAAACAAGGTTGCTAACAAGGAGAGGGTGCAGTGAGGGATTAAAGAACCTTCCTGAAAAGGCATCAGATCTTTCCCTGAAACCCGGAAAGAAGTTATCACTGACCCTGGGGGCTGAAGGAGGTAAGGAGGGAAAAAAAGCCTCGACGGCAGAGCGCTGTTCTTTATTTGTTAAGGAAATTCTGGCGGCCGGTGGACTTTCTCCGATTGCCCCCTACAGCCGCACCAGCTGTGTTGCATCCCGGCAGCGGTAACTGCCCATTTGAGAGCTGAGGGACCTGATTCACTCTGTAAAAAGTGTTGTTTGTGCCCAGCCTTCGTCCAGAAAGAACGCGTGCTGCCGCCTCCCGCTCCCTTTGACGCTGAGAACCTGGCCCACCGCAGAACGCTCCAAGGCCAGGCGAAGATGGCCTCGGTACCGGTGTATTGCCTCTGTCGGCTGCCTTACGATGTCACCCGCTTCATGATCGAGTGTGACATGTGCCAGGACTGGTTTCATGGCAGGTAAGGTGGGCAGGGCACGCTGGACAGGGTGTAGTGACCAGGTGCTCACTTGGCTTGCTCCTTTCTCAACTCTGGTTCACGTTCCTGCTCAGAAACTTATTTCCCCTCTCTTGCAGACAGTTAACACCAACCTACCTCCCAGACCCAGATTTTTACATCCTTCCTTGCAGACTGGGGCCTAGCTGACATTGGCCTCTGGTTTCTCCTCTTTTTTCTTTTCCCATATGTATTTCTTCTTTGTACCCTTCTTCTGTTTCTTTGTTTTTTTCCCTTAGAAAAATATTTTCTTTCCAGCCACAAAGAATGTATCATTTTTGTATTCTGGCAATTTTGTTTTGCCTCAGATGCTGGGTTTGGGGGAGACAGTTCTGCATTTTTGAGATATTTGAGTCCAACAAACATGGATTTGAGTTGTGGTTTTGCAACTTATTATCAGAGTGACCTTGGGCAAGTTGCTTTGCCTCTCTGAGCCTCTGTTTTCACCCATGAAGTATATCTAATACATCCTTCCTGTTTACTTAAAGCATTTTGCATGCACTCAGTAAATGGAGGCAGAAATGCAATAGTATTTTATTTCTACAGTATTTATCTGAAGAACCATCCAGCTAAATTGAATTGAGCAGAGGAGATGTTGGGTAAAACAGTAGGAGTAAAACCACTAATGAATTCCCTCCAGCTAAACATGTGTGCACATAAGCACCTGTCACCCAGGATTCCAGAGAGGTTAGTGTGTGGAATAAACCTGTAATATTATCCCATTATTGAGACTTATATCCCAGCTCTGGAAAGAAAACCATGAGACGGATTTGTACATTAGAGTACAACAAAACAGTGTATGGCACCCTCCTTCTGTTGCATGTTGTTAGATTCTAGAATTTTCAGTTGTCATTAGTCCCTTCCAAAGGAGCTGTTCCTGCTATCACACCCAAGACCAAACTGAAGGTGTTGGTGCTGCTAAAATTGTGCTCTTAGCAGGGACTGCCCTGTGCAGCACGTCCAAATTCATATTCAGCTGATCTTTGTTGAGTATTACTGTGTGTCATGTTCCCATGGCACTTTGTGTACATCCTTATTGAAAGTGATTATTTCATCATATCATAGTTATAAATACGTCTGTGTCACTCATTAGCAAGAGGTGCCTGAGGATAGAGATGTCAGCTTTTCATGTTTGGTATCCTCAGAACCTAGTTCAATGCTAAACATATAATAGATTCTGAGTATATATTTTTTTTTTTTGCGGTACACGGGCCTCTCACTGTTGTGGCCTCTCCCGTTGTGGAGCACAGGCTCCGGACGCGCAGGCTCAGCAGCCATGGCTCACGGGCCTAGCCTCTCCACGGCATGTAGGATCTTCCCAGACCGGGGCACGAACCCGTGTCCCCTGCATCGGCAGGCGGACTCTCAACCACTGCGCCACCAGGGAAGCCCCCTGAGTACATTTTTGAATGAACAAATGAATGAGTTGTCTTGAAAAAAGCTATTGCCTGTGGCCCTTGCTTTGGATTGTGTAGGTTTAAACCTGGAAAGTGAACTCTTACCACAATACAGAGACCCTAACTCTGCAGTCTGGGAACAGGAAACAGGAATGAATGCTTCCTGAGTACTTACTGTGTTCCAGGCCCCATGACAGAGACTTGGCATACATTTATCTCATCAAATCCACATCCAAGCCTGAAAGTTAGGTATTTCTTTTTTAAATAATAATAAAAAAATTTCCCATACTATGTAAGTGAGACATGCTTATTGTAGGACATACAGAAAAAGAATAAAGAAGGAAATAAAAATCATCCATGAGCCTACTATCCAGGATAATCTACTGTTTAATTTTTTTGTTGCATTAACTCCCATCATTTGACTTAGAATATAAACATATATTTTACAACATGGGATTGTATTATAAGTACCATTTTGTAACGTGATTTTTATTCCTACTTAACATTATAAAGTTAAGGTCATTAAATATTGATCTGATTTCTGATATCCCATCATATATCTGTATCATCAGTTACTTGGTCATTTCCTCTGAGGTTAGATACTTAGGTTATTTCTACTTTTTTATATTATAAATAATACTATGATGTGAGGGAAACTTTGGGGGTTCTGGAAATGTTTTGCATTTTTATTTGGGTGCTTGTTGAAACAAAAAACATTGCGGTGAACATCTTTGCCGTAGTAGAGACTTGACACTTACAAGGAACACCACTGAGGCCTTTAAGAATTCCAAATTTACAAATATGAAAATGGATTTATGGGCCAGGCCCCTCCTTAATCACATTTCTGTGGTGAGTCCTGTGTTTCTGTGCACACCCTTGACATAAGTTAACTGCCTTAATTATTTTTCCTGTGAAAGTGACCAAGCTTTTATCTCTTATCATACTTTTCTCTATGGGCTGCCAGAGAATAAGGAAGCCAGCTGAGAATCAGGTCCTTGGTGGGTGGCTGTTCTTGCTTACTCAGTGCATTGCGTGTGCGCGCATGCGCGCGCACACACACACACACACACACACACACACACACACACACCAGGCTCATAGTGCTCTAGTTAAGTCTGTACTTTAGCATAATTGAAAATTACTAAATATTGTGGACTTTTCACGGTTGTTCACAATAGTTAAGCCCACAAATGCCTATAGATGATATAAATCTGTTCACATCTCTGATGACTTCCATAGGCCAGATTTCTTAAAGTCCAGTTGGGGATTAGTAATGCCATGTTACTTCCTGGTAAGGTTATAGCAAGGAAGGTGACTATTCCATTTTGCTGGTGAGAATCTGGATCTCATGGAGGTTAAGTTACTTTCTGAGTCTGGATTTGAACTTAGAATTATCTGGCTCCAGAGCCCAGGTTCTCAAAAGTGGGAAAAAAATGGTATAGCTCCATTCCTCTATTGTAAAGGACTGGATTTTGAAGAGCATTTTGATTTGTAGAGCAGTGGTTCTCAAACTTTAGGGTGTATCAGAATTACTTGCAAGACCTCTTAAAAGATGAGATAGGTAGGCTCCACTTGCAGGGTTTCTGATTCAGTATGTGAGTGGAGGCTACTCTCAGAACCACTGATTTAGAGCATTATTCTGTCTCAATTCCCTCCCTTTCTGTAGAGTGTGACAGCTTCTGATATTGCGGGATGGGTGGGCTAACATATCATTACTGTACACTGTTGTTCTCAAAATGTGGTTCATTAACTGGGAATTTGTTTAAAATGCAAATTCTTGGGTTGGGACCTGGCAATCTATATTTTAACAAGCAGGTAGATTCTGATGTACCCTAACTTTTGAGAAACATTGCTGTACACTGGTGGAGGAAGTTAGTTGGCAAGCATTTATTGATGTCTGGGGCTTTGGCAAAATCTCACTCCTCTACAGTTTTCCTATCTATAAAGGAAGTATTGGTTGGCATATCCCCAAGGTGGTGGCTGTGGTGTGGACTCTAAACTCTAGAGGAAATGGCACTGGCTTCAGATCTGGGTTCAAATTCTGACTCTGTTACTTTTTAGCAAAGGATTTCATCTCTGTGAAGCCTCAATTTCCCCAAGAGTGGTTGTGATGATTTAAATAAAAGGGTAGTGGCCCTTGTTTATTGAGCACTGGCCAGTCTGCTAGTCACTATGCTAAACACTTTGCTTAATTATCTTTAACCTTTTTTTTGAGTTTTAAAATTATGAATTCAGTTCATTTAATAGTTATAGGACTATTTAAATTATCTATTTTGTATGGGATATGTTGTGGTAGTTTCTGCTTTCTAAGGAATTGATCTATTTCTTCTAAGTTGTCAAATTTAAGTGTGTAGAATTTTTCATAGTATTCCCTTATTATCCTTTTGATGGCTGCAGGCTGGCTCTGTGGTGACATCTCATTTCATTCCTGATGTTGCAAATTTGTCTCTTCTCTCTTTTTTTCTTTGTCTGACTTGCTGGAGATTTGCCAGTTTTATTGATCTTTTCAAAGAGGAAGCTTTTTGTTTCATTGAATTTCCCTATTGTCTTTCTGTTTCCAATTTCACTGATTTCTGCACTTTATTATTACCTTCCTTCTGCTTGCTTTGGGTTCATTTTTCTCCTCTTAATGTCTTGAGGTGGGAGCTTAGTTTACTGATTTGAGACTTTTCCTGTATTCTAATATAAGCATTTAGTGCTATTGGTTTCCTTCTTAGTACTGATTTAGCTGTGTCCCACAAATTTTGATATGTTTTCTTTTTCATGTAGTTCAATATAATTTTTAATTTGCTTAGAGACTTCACATTTGACCTATGAATTATATAGAAGTATGTTGTTTACTTTCCAAGTGTTTGCAGATTTTCCTGTTATCATTCTGTTATTGATTTCTGGTTTGTTTCCATAGCGGTCAGAGAATATACTCTATACAATTTCAGTTCCTTTAAATTTACTGGGGTTTGTTTTATGGCCCAGGTTATGGTCTGTCTTGGTAAATGTTCCATGGTCACTTGAAAGGAATGTATATCCTGCTGATGTTGGGAGGAGTTTTCTGTAAATGTTGATTTACTCCTGTTGGTTGATGGTGTTGCTGAATTCTCCTCTCTTTGCTGATTTTCTGCAGAGTTGTTCAGTTCGTTGTTGAGAAGGAGGTGTTGAAGTGTCCAGCTAAAATTGTCAATTTTTAATTCTTCCTTTCAGTTCTATCATTTGCCTCACATCTTGCAGCTTTACTGTTTAAATGCAGATGCATTTGGGATTAATGTGTCTTGGTGGATTGACTCTTTAATTATGTAATGTCCTTCTCTGTCTCTGGTAATTTTCTTTGCATGGAAGTCCACTTTATAGGATATTAATATAGCCATTAATATAGCCACTCCTGCTTTCTTTTGATTAAAGGTTGCCTGGTATCTTTTTCTATCCCTTTACTTTCAACTGATGTCATTATATATGAAGTGAGTTTCTTGTAGGCAGCATATAGTTCAGAATTATTTTTGTCCACTCTGCCAATCTTTTTTTTTTACATCTTTATTGGAGTATAATTGCTTTACAATGGTGTGTTAGTTTCTG